GCAAAGATCTTTTTCTTTTTGTTTTTCGCTGTATGGCAGATCGTTTGGTGCTGCCTGCAGTCCGGGGCTTTGATTTTGAGGTTGATTTTGGTTTCGATTCTGAGGAGGATGGAGGCGCAGAGATAAAGAAGAATCAGACACAGAGAGACGGAGAGACGGGGACAGAGCCAGGCCGCATTTGTGCTAATTGGGAAAATTAGAAAGCATGAAATGCTCGGCTGCATTTGCTGTCTAGCTGGTTAATCGGCTCCCCAGCAGCAGTGGCACTGGCAGAAGCAGAAGCAGAAGCAACGGCAGGTCCGAGTCCAACCCCCCCACCCCCCCTCTCTTTCTAGCGCACTGAGCATAGATCCTGGTTGAAGGCTGCACAGAGAATACACAGAACAAATGCGAATATGTACAGTTCCATGTTCCTATTGCGACAGATGAGACTAATAATAATAATGATAATAATAATAATAGTTTTTGGTAAAAGTTTCCTTTGGCTGTTGGGTTCTTGGGATACGAGTGGGGGGTAGGTACTTATACGATTGCGCTATGCTGTACGGATTTATTGCAGGTACAACGAAACAACAACAACAACAACAAAAAATCAACAACAACAACACTCACTTCACTGAACTGGACTCGTTCGCTCTCTCGTTCGCTCTCTTTCTTTCGTTCTTTCGCTCGCGCGTTTGCTGTATATATTTCTTCTTCTTCTTATTCTGCGCTTTGGCACAGGTAACGGTAATTGTAAAACAACAACAACAAAAAAATACACTGACACTAGACACTGGGATGAGCCGGTGGCGGAGGAGGAGGAGGCGGAGGAAGAGGAGCCAGGCGGCAGGCTGCAGTCGACAGTCGGGCACTTGGGCGTCGCAGTACTGAGAAAACGAGGCTCGATCACGATCCGAACGGATTCAGACTCGGACTTGGATTCGGATTCGTATTCGCCAAAAGCCTGGGAGATGCGGTGAGATGCGATGCGATGCGATGCGAAGCGATGTGGCAAGCAAGCGGCCAAGCGAGCAGCACGTGTGAACTCGACGAGCGACGAACGCGAAATACGCAAACCAGCCAAGATACTTTCTTTGGCCTCGTAATGTAACTGTCGGGAACACAAGAAGAAAATCAAGCCAGACACACAGATACACACTGACACAGGTGCACGAGCCGCCACGACCAGAGACGAGCGTAGAGTCTAGCGACTGCGCGCAGCGGCAGAAGCTTCGGACTTCGGCTTCTGCTTCTGCTGGCTGGTGCTGCCTGCTGCTGCGGCTGCGCCATGAGCTTTCAGAAACTGCACAAATGAGCAGCACAGTCACAGACGAGAGAACTTGCGGCTAGACGAGCGAGCGCAGCTCTCCTTCTCTGCCTCCTCTGGTTCTGCCTGCTGCTATGGCCGGCCTCTGCTGCCTCTTATGTTCCTGCTGTTTGTTCTTTTAGTGGCACTTGGCCTAGCCTAGACTGAGACATATATTGGACGGCGCGGCGCCGCTAATCAAGCGGCCTAATGACATAGAATCGCTTGCCAATTAGAAGCGGCGCGATCAGCAATAAAATCTACCACTACACTACACTAACCAACTCCTCGGCACAGATGCTCCCTGCAAAAGGAGCACAAGAGGAAAACACTTAAAAGTTGATTTGCACACATTTTTATGCTCTGCCAGTTGATGAGATATTTTCATGGCAGATGAAACGAGAGGACCGATATGCTAGGGTATCAAGAGCTTTCCAAACCGCACATTTGTTTGCTTCTCATTATGTCCGAGGCTTCTCTGTCGCGGACTTTGCGCTCTTGAACTTGATCTTTCGAGAGCGCACATTTTTGGCAGTGGTAGAAGGTAAACGGTAATACCCTCGACTGCGAACGCCCAAGCTAATTTACGCTTCACACCAAGCCGGCGCTGGGGAGGAACAGCCAGCTGGATATACCGATACAGTATCCAATATACCCCACCCGCCGGAGGGTCTCGAAAAGCACAAGCCAGCAAGTGCTTGCGCTGTTGCGTGAATGAGGGAAAATGGTTAGGGGAGGTGGCATCGCCAATAAGATTGCAAACCGCATAAATACATTTTGGTTCCCATTTGAGTAACATTTAAATTTGCAGAAGAAGGAGGAAGGTATTTCCATCATAACGGTTGAATGTTGAATGCTGGCTGATAACAACTTATCAAGATTTGGGGACAGTTAGCGATCAGATTGATTTGAAGAATAAGCCAAAATTTCCGTTTCCGCACTTTGCATACCTGCCCACCTGCCCGTCCACCTCTCACCAGTTGACGGGAAACGGCTGCCCATTCTCTCTCTTCTTTCACACACGCAGACACACGTACACACATGACTGATGTGCAACGGTTTTTATGCTGGTGTTGTTCTTGCCTTGTGCTTTTCTCCTCATTTGCTGTTAGAGAGGCTGCTGCTGCAGCGCTCTCTCTCTCTCTCTCTCTGACTTACTCCATCCTCCAAGTTGAGACTCTCTTTTGCACACACAAACACACACACACACACACACCGTCTCACAGAAACTGGGCGCATTTAAACGGTAAACATCATGAATGCATTTGGAAAGTGGTTGTGGTTCGTGGTGTTTGCATTTTGCATTTCTTCGCATTCTTTCTCTGTCCGCTGCCCGCTGCCCGCTGCTGCTGCTGCTGCTGCTGCTTCTGCTGATGATGCTTCTGCAGCAAAAGAAGAAGTAACAAAAAAAGAACAACAGCAACGGTAATACAGACCGAAGACGGGGTTTTCATTTCTGAGAATTGATTGGCCGTCGCGTCGCGTACTCCACACGCCACTGCCGTAGCTTCAGCCTCATCCAGTCTTAATTTCTTGCTGCATTCCTTTGGATTCTGTACTGCTGCAGCAGCACCAGCAGCAGCGTCTACAGTAACAGGTGCTGCTGGTGTCTTCTGCTGCTGCTGCTGCTGCTGGATCCATTGCGATTGTGATTAAATAACGTTTGTTGGCGGGCGTTGTCCTGATCGTTCGTTCGCTTCATTAACCTCAACAGGTTCAAGGTATATTAATATTTATATTTAAGGTTATATTCCATCTTGAGCTTATCGTTCTGCAAAATCTACCCAAAGGAAAGAAAGATCCTCTCAGAGATCAAGCACACATTTCTACTCCCAGCCGTGCTCTTCTCTCTCAAATCCACTACTAGTCCCACCTCTCCAAGCATCACTCTTCGCACTCCACTCCTCGTCGCTTGTCGCCGCACAAGCTCTGTTCTCATTCCCATTCCTCGCATGCGCAGTCCACTTTTGAATTTGGCATCATCAACAGCAACAGCAGCAGCGCTGCCGCTGCCGCTGCCGCTGCTTCTGTCTCTGCCTTGGCCTCTACAAGCGGCGTCGGACGTCGCCATTCGCTGTCGCAGTTGTTCTCTCATTTCTTTCTTCCCACTTGGCGTGTAAACTATCGCCATTGCCTGTTTCTATGACAGGCATTGGCACACTTTGCCTCTCCCCAACCCCACCATCTCTCCACCTCTCTACCTCTCTGTCATTGCTTCTGTTGCTGTCATCATTGTAATTCCTCAACGCACTTGCCTCTGCTCTGCTCTGTCGCTGCAGCTAGTTCTTCCTTCTCTCCTGCGTCGCCGCATCCTCTGCCAACGAGCGCCCATTTGGCTAAGTCGACTATTTAACTATTTTTGCCATTTGGCTCGATAAGCTCTCAAGATGCTGCTCCATTTGGCTGTACGCGACATTTATCGCTGATTTTTCTCTGATTTTATTTTACGGCGCATTGTCGGCTTCCCTCCCCCCTCCCCCCTCCCCCCACCCCACACGACACTCACACGAGACCCTCGCAGGCCACCGTCGCATCGTGACCCACAAGCAAATGAAGCTGAGTGTGCCCAGACACTGTCATTGTTGTTGTTGTTGTTGTTGTTGTTAATGCCGATGCTAATTTGTGTCCATTATGGGGTTAGTGGGGCCCGTTTCGTTCCCCAGACAAGATTGATGGCAGTGGGGGCATGGATTGTGGCATGGCTGTGTCACCTGCAATTACCATTTGGTGACCCCGACACTCGTTGAACTGATGGAGCCTCCCATTTGTCAGCTGCTCTTGAGTTTTGGGTGGAATTTGATTCGGTATTTGGTGACCCCGAAGGCAGCTCTGCTTTGATGCTTCACTTGCAGCCCCCACAGATGGCGCAGCGATGCCAATGCCGTTCTCTAATGGAACCGAAGAACTGGGCAATGGGAATGGGATTGGGATTCGCAGACTGACACTCAGAACTGGGAACTGGGAACTGGGGACTGGGGACTGGCAGTTGTTATGTGGTTATCTGGCCAGTGCCATATAAGTCGAGAAATGCGCAGTTAGGCAATCAATGGCCAACGATCCAGCGACGCGTCGCTTCTTGGGCACCGATTGTGGCAGAGGGAATCACAAACAGCCATCGGAATCCGCAATGGCACTGCCACAGCCAACAGACTGTCTCTGGCTGTGGCATAGAAGGAAGCTCTGGGCTGTGGCAACGTGTGTGTTATGATTGGCAACGGTTTGTTGCTCGGCTGCTTGGCTGCTTGGCTGCTTGGCTGCTTGGATTGGTGGTCTGAGGTGCCGCCGCAGACTGTGACCAGTCGGCGGAGCAAATACCGTTTTGCTGAATAAATACGCACACACAGAGAGTGCAGAATGGATACCCTCTGGCCGCTGGCAGTGGAGAAGCTTCCCGCAGCCAGCATACCCGCTGAGCATCGGGGAGTAGCAGACGCTGACATTGATGTTGCTGATGCGACGGCACTTGGAATGCGTTTAGTCCACCGCTCCAGCCCCGCCCAGCCCAGCCGCGATATGTCCGAGGAATGTTAATGCAGCCACCGCCATCGCCATCGCCATCGCCATCGTCTTGGTGACAAGATGAGGCGGGAATGAGGACAAACATTTACCTAATCCATTTCGAATGTGGCCTGCTCCCGTTCCCAGTTGCAGTTCCCGTTCCCGATCCCGATCCTGATTTTCTGGCTCTTCTTTTAATGGCTATAAACTAATCCTACTTAGAGCTATTGGCCAAGATCGGTGTCGCTGGCACTCGCTGGGCGCGCGGCTTCTCGGGCAGGAAGTAGCCCAAGCTGCATAGGAAAATGACGAGGCCGAGCAGTGACCAGAAGACGGTGTCGCAGCTGGTGAAGAGCAGGCGACCGAGGAGATTGCTGCCGACCACTGCCCCGAGGCGACCCATCATCATGATGAAGCACATGCCCATGGCGTTGATGTGCGTGGGATAGAACTCCATGGCAATGGTGCTCACCAGACCGCCGCAGTTGCCAATGGCCATGACCACGGTCAGGGCGATGACCACCAGGGCAAATTGCTCCACGAAGTGCAAGCCCACCAGGCAGATCATGGTCAGCGCCATCCAGCCCACTGCAAGATACGAACGGTGTCAAAAACATCCTGCTGCAAGGACACTCCAGAGACTCACTCAACAGATTCCGCTTGCCCGTGTAGTCGATGATGTAGGCAAACACCAAGTAGATCCCCGTGAACGAGGCCCCAATGATGATCATCACTTGGTAGGTGTTGGTGTCCACATCCACGGCACACACCTGTGCGGTGTCCCCTGCAGTGGCATTGTCCGGCCTCTGGGCATCGAACTCGGACAGCACGCGGCAGAGGAGCGCTGGGTCGCCGCCACGGGCGCCCAGCTCATCGAGGATGGTGGGGAACCACATGAATATGCCCTGGGCCATGCTGTAGATGAGGAACTGAATCGTGCAAATGTTCAGCGTGTGCACCAGCCGGGAGCGGTAGAAGAGCGGCACTGTCTGGCGCCAGACGAGGCGCACGGCGTCGCAGAACCCGTGGACATCCGACAGACTGGCACCGCCGCTCTCCAGGGTGATCGCTCGCACTGGGTACTCGGATGGGGGTTTGCGCATGTTCTGGCTGAAGATGATTCGCAGCGTCTCGAGGGCTGCCTCGCCCTGGCCCTGCACCAGCATATACTTGGGCGTCTCGGGCAGCGTGGCGAGGCCCACGAGGGCGAGCAGCGAGATGGACACATTGGCGATGAGCAGCACACGCCACGAGGAGAAGCGCATGCCCAGGACAATGGTCTCAATGCGCAGCGGCAGAATGCCAATGGCCATGGCTAAGACGGGAGAGAGAGAGCGACATTAGAGGAGAGCTGAAGAGAGAGAGAGAGAGCTAGACTCACCTGGTGCAAAGATCATGGACAAGCAGAGGAAGCCCGAGAGGAGGGTCACATGCCTCACCCTCGATCCGTTGCCATGGAACTCGCCGCACAAACTGAAGACACAGGCCTGGCCGCCGGAGATGAAGAAGCCCGTGAGGAAACGCAACACAATCAGCATCCAAATGTTGACCGAAAAGCCCGAGATGATCGAGCAAATGGCGGCCAGAAGGAGCGCATACCGGAGCGTCGTCACCCGGCCCCAAGTGTCCGCCAGGAAGCCCATGGCATGGGAGCTGAGCACAACGCCCAGGAAGCCCGCCGAGGCCAGGATGCCCTGCTGGTCAATCGTGGGCTGGAGGTCGCACTTCATTTGGTTCATGATCAGGCTGACGCCCATGATCTCCACCATCACGGCCATGAAGCAGAGGCCACACACGAGCAGCAGCTTGTAGTGGAAGCGTCCGACACCCGTCAACGTGATGGCCTCCTCGAAGCTGTGCGACTTGGGCGACTGTGGAGGCTTCTCCCGTCCATCACCTGCAATCAAACGAGCGAAAACGAGCATATCAAAGTCAGTCATATCTGCAGGCGGCTTTTGGTGTCAATCCAAGGAAATTTGCATAATTGGCAGTGCATTTAGCTGTAAGGCCGCCACTTTAGCTGCTCAGTTGGCTGGAAACGATGGCGGGGAAAGCTTCGCAGGCGAAGCAGGACGAAGCCTCCGAGGACAACGTGCGCCTGCCCAAGGAGGAGGAACAACAGCAGTCGGCAGCTGCCGCCTTCTTCGAGTCGAAAACCTTTCGCCTGATCTCCATCTTCCTGTACTTGGGCGGCATCAGTGGCCTGGGCATGGTGCTGGCCCTCTACTATTTAATGTTCTTTGACTCCAGCATGCCGGACATTCATCTCAAGTTTCCCGTGTCCATTGGCGGCCATCCAGTGCAGAAGGTGCACGAGTACCAATGACCCAAGGTGAGTACGGTCCAAGTGCGGGGCCTGGGGCGGGCGTGGGGCGGCGGCTAATTGGATTGGCCAAATGCCACAGACAGACGCAACGAGCAGTCGCGACGGTGCAGCTACCCTGGAAGTTACCCTTTCCAGTGCTAAGCAGTTCCCCTTTAATTGCATTTGTTTTGTGGCTAAGATGTGTCATGGATTGCCGTATTTTTGGGTGCTGCTGCAGGGTATTGTGGTGCTGCAGGGAGAACTTCCGCTTGATGACGCTAATGACAAATCAAACCAGGTCAAGTGGCTGCCAAAGAGTGGGGCACGTGATGACGAATCTTATTAGTCAAGCCAAGACGCTCATCCACCCACCCGCCGAGCCGCCGAGCCACCGAGCCACCGAATTTGCCACCAAAGAAACCGCAAAACAACCGAGCACCGGGAAGCACCATCGGCCGGCCAATTGTGCGCTTCAGTATGCCATCAGAGCTTCTTGCGTGGTTTCGGTTCGCGCGCTTCGCCACGTCATGTCCGCCCCATCCAGTCTGATGTCCAATCTGGCTTCGGTCGTGAAGGAGGCCAGCGATGAGGAGATCCAAGTGCCCAAATCTGATGACTTCTTCGAGTCGAAGGCCTTCCGGCTGCTCACGCTGATCCTCTACATGGGCGGGGTCAGTGGCATGGGCCTCACCCTGGCCGTTTATTATCTGTTCATTTGGGACTCGCGCATGCCGCCGCTGCCCGTGTTCAAGCATACGCATCCCATTGGTTAGGACTGCATCCTCGACTGCTGCTCATCACCCACATTAGTGACCAGGATTGGGTGAGTCTCTTGGGGGTGGGCTTAATTAGTGCCCGAGGCTGTCTGGGGGGTAGAGCGTTTGATATCAAAAGTTGACAGCAACGCACAAAATTAATCCGCTTACGGGGCACGTTTGCTGGGCCCGTAAATCCCAGAGTTGGGCGGGGCGGCAGTCAGTCCGATTTTGATTTAATCGCCGGAGACCATCAAATCAGTAATAGAATCGCCGCACGGCGAGCCGTGCACAATGTCTGCGACTAGGACAGCGACGGCATCCACTGCCAGTGGTGCACCAATTGGGCTTGCCAATCTGGCAAAGATTGTGAACATTATCGAGTCGAATGTGCGGCCAGACAACGAGGAGGAGCAGCAGCAGCCCCACCTGGAGGCCTCCAAGGTGTCCGCCAGCAGCAGCGTTCGGCTGGCCAGCTGCAGTGCACCCCGGAGGAGCGCCTGTTCGTATGTGCCCAAGTCGCCGCAGCTGGAGGAGATCTTCTTTGCGAAGCCCACCTGCACGGAGCGCTTTGCGCGCTACTTCATCATCGTCATCTATATTTGTGGCCTGTGCTGTCTGGGCTTCTTTCTGTCCATCTACCACATCTTCTTTTGGGACTCGCGCATGCCGCCCGTCTTCAAGGGCCAAAAGAAGGGTCCAGCCTTTGGCTAACGACTTGGACCTCTCACCTGACCAACTCCACGCTGAAGAGAAACTTCATTTTGGTAAGCCCAGAGCTGCAGCGAGACTTGGAAATCATCCAAGTTCAACTCGGAATTTACATTGAAATTCTACTGAAGCCGTGGCCAATTATTCGAATTATTATATCCGTATCCCTCATCGGGGGTGTCATTTCTCTACTTCTACACGTACATTTCTCGGTGTGGCTTCATACATGAATACATATTTATGTCTCCAAGGGTGCACTGTGGGGGTGCAGGTGCTCTAGGGTGGCCCATCATTTTCGAGGCCAGCAATGGCAGGCTCCCTCACCTGGCGAAACTCCTTGAGGGCGACTGTGCAACAATGCAAAATGTGAATGTAAATGTGTGTGTGTGTGGCCTACATCTTGGCCAACTTGACGAATACTTATGTGTGGCACAGTTGTGGTCAAAATAATAGGCACAACCAACTACAACTGGGAGCATTTCCATCTCCAGCTGTTCCCTGAGCTGGGCATAAATATGGCTAAATATTCCAAGCCAGCGCACCTATTCGCTTGACCACAAGTGTCTGTGCATGTGTGTGTGTGTGTGCTGCTCTGTGTGCACAGCTTATACAACAAAATCAATGGCCAACATTGCAATCGCTTGGTGTCCGTGTTCACCCCCGTCACTCCCCCTCTCTGTCACATCTCCTCCTCCACGCCATTCTGTTCGTTCTCGTGCCTGCGCTCGCTCGATTCTCGACCGCTCTGCTGGCTCGCTCGGCGACTGCAGTCGATGCCGAACGCTGTCCTAGTGACCCAGTTGCAGTTCGTTCACCCCCCTCGGTGGCCTAAAGCCTAGAGCCCGGAACAGAGACTGCGACCGATACCGAACCCGAACCGAGCGCCAGGCAACGAAAACGAAGGTGTGCCACGGAGAGGGGCGGCTGAAGCGAAAGTTTTCGGCGAGCCGAGAGCAGCGAAAAAAAACAGCAACAAAAACCTCGGTAAAGCCGTTACGGTAGGCGTCCTTCGAAGCACCTGCGAAGGTTGCCAGCCACAGCCACTGCAGCGGAATGCAAGGGGTATGATTGCGCCTACAAATTGTGCATTTTGCAGGCTGATTGACTGACGGGCTCACTGGTTGAATGATTGATGCAAGCGAGATGCCATCCAGCCGCGCAATTTCATTTCCGCAAGCACTGACTCATGGGGCGGGGGGCACCGTACCGCACTTGACACACAAAGCAACGCAGCAACGGCAGCAGTGAGGGAGAGACGTGCCGACGTGCCCCCACAATGGATGCGGTTTTGTTTGTGGAATTCCATCTGCCAGCGGCGTGTGCCAGCATTGCAGCCCGAAACAAAAACAACAGGGAGAGAGCGAGAGGAGGAGACTGACTCCTACGCCGCTAAAGCTACGGTACAGTGCAGCAGCAGCAGCAGCAGCAGCAGAGCAGCATATTGTGTTCCGCACAAAAATGCAAATGAGATTCGGCTGGCATTGGCCAAGGGTGAGATGGAGAGGAGAGCGGGCAAGCGCAAACAGGCATTTTATGAATGAAATTAAATGCGAGGGCGACTGAGGATCGCAAATGAAGCGCCAAGCAAACAACAGCTCAAGCCGAAACGAAGCTGAAGGCAAGGCCATGATGACACGAAGGCCAGAGAGAGAGAGAGAGAGAGACAGGAAGAGAGAGCACGAACACGAAGCTCCTGCGCTGGCAGGCAGGCTGCTGTGCTGTGCTGTGCTGTGGGTCTCTGCCTGCCTGCTGCTCGCTGCTCCTCTGCCGTTTGGAGCTTTTTGGCGACGTCGTCGTCGTCATTTCACTTGCATACGCTCGACGCGTCGGTTCGAACTTCGAATACAGTTTTTTGCACGCTGTGTGTGCGCGCTGCCGCTCTTGGGCGCCCCCTCTGAAACAGTCTTTTTTTGTACTCTTGCCGCGACGCGTCCCCCCTACCAGCAAGAACCAAACAACAAGCGAAACGTCAACAAGAATATTGCATTTAAACAACAACAGTTAGACTAACGGTCACTGCCAAACAGGAAGCCGAAAACGAAATCGAAAACGAAAACAAAAACGACACAAAATTAACATAAAGCAAAGGGCCGAAACATATCAGGAGACATTAGGAAAACGAGGAGAGGAAAAGGAACAGCAGCACAGAATCAAACGGAACTTTAATCAAAGGAACTTCAATCAAAATGAACTCGAAAGTGAATTCGCTGGAGGAGAAAGTGAAACTGCCGCCCACAGAGACAATAAGTCGCTGCTATCAGCCGCAGCAGAGCAACCGTAAGGTCATCCGCATCCTGACCGTCGCCGTTTACGTTCTCTGCGTCTCGCTGGCGGCCATCATGCTCTCGCTCTATTACATATTCATATGGGATCCGACCATCCGGCCGTTTGTTACCAAGGCCAATCACTGCGGTAAGACGGGATCACTGAGGTGATGGTATGGGCCAAACCCAATCAAGCCGAACGCAACCCCAATCGAGTCCTTATTAACTTATTTCCATACACCGAGTATCGAGTATCGAGCCAATTTGCGTTGTGGTCAACAGCCCGGACATTGTGGCTTTAATCAAACTGTGACATGGCCCGAATCGGGACCAGGATGGCCATTATCGATGGGGTTGGATGGGTTCGCAATGCCCCCAAAAAACGGAAGGGCGTGAAAGTTTTACCGCCTGCTTCGCTTTTTGTAAATCAACTTGAAATTAGGTCAATGGGGGGTGTCATGCACACGAGTACCAAGTGCCAACCACCCACCCACCCACACCCACCAGTCACACACACACACACACACACACACAGAAGGGTGCAGTTTTCCCGTGTCTGTGTGTGCATTCCCATTTGCAGTTTGCAGTTCAATAAATCTAATTCGGAGCAAATTAACGCGGAGCAACTCTCAGCCAAATAAATTCTACATTTTATCTGGGCTAAATTCAATTTTCAGACCAAAAGCCACAGGGCTGCCGCATCGCGCTGCAGGGACCAACTTCTAAACAAAACCAAAGCACAATTTCTTGACCTGCCCCACACAGGCAGTGACTGTACATGCATATGCATGTGTGTGTGTGTGTGACCTACTATGACCAACAACTATCATGTAAGCTGGCAAACAAACGGACACTATCTTGTTTCCTGATTCCTGACTACCAGTTGTGGGCACTACCATAGGGGAAACCTTTTTTAAACCTGAATTATATAAAATAGAACTATTAAGTGGATGGCTGCTGGATGGCTCATATGTGTGCCAAATTGACTCACAAATTCCCTTTTTTCGTTGCAGATAAAATTGTGATACCCGAGAAAATAGCAATTCGCCTACTAAACTCATCGGAAGTGACCGCGGAGCAGTTCTACAAGCACATCCTCGAGCAGTACCGCATCCACAACCATCTGCAGCAGCAGCGGCAGCAGTTCCTGCAGAAGCAGCACCTCCAGCTGCAGCAGCTGGAGGCGAACAATCGCTTCCAGGAGATCTTTGCCACGGCCACCATCATTCAGGCCCATCCGCATCCCCATTCCCGGGAGCCGCCCAAGAAGCCCCTACTCGTCCCCTCGAACAGCAACGGCAGCAGCAGTGGCAGCATCAGCGGCAGCGATCTTGGAGCCTTCCGCATGGAGCCGCCTGCCTCGCAGCCATCCAACATGGAGGAGTTGGTTAAGGGCGCCACCGCTGGCCATCATCTGCCCATGCTGCTGGACACCTCGCCCCCGGCAGACAGCTCCGGCCTAGGGCACATTAAGCGGAAGACACATCGCGGCCACTACAAGCACCATCGGGCACGAGCCGGCGGCTCCAAGAAGCTGATCTCCAGCGCCATGTCTAGTTCGGCCACAGCCAGCACCACGTCTGCGGCTGAGCAGCCGCCTGCCACGGCTGCGGCAGCGGCAGCGGCAGCCGTGCCCCATGGCTACATGGACACACCGCTGAACCCGGCGGCCGGGACCATAGTGCAGCAGCCGCAGCTGCAGCTGTACACCTCGATGCCGATACCATTGATACTCAGCCCCAGCGAGGAGAAGCGCCCCTCCCACCACGCCCACAATCATGCGCATGGCGAGCGTCGAGGTGGGGCGCAGGCACGCAAGAGGACAACCACCGCCTCCGTTTCCGGCTACGACTCCCAGACCTACCTCAATCCGTTCCTCACCGGCGAGCTAATCTTCGAGAAGTAAACACGCCGTCGCTGCTGCTCAGACCACATTAACTTCCTGGTTTAACTCCATTCCACTCAACATACCACACGAAACTTATGGAGCGTGGGATGCCCATCACACCTATCCAAAACTTCTGAAATAGTCGAACGTGCTACACGGAGAGATTCGGGCAAACGGAAACCTATACCATATAGAGGATGTTATATTAATGTTAACGATAGTTGAAGCCATAATAGTTTCGATGTAACACACACACACACACGACCACACGACCACAAGGACACGCGCATTGTACGGGACCCACTTCAGTAGTCGATCGATCGAAGATCTCACCAGCAGCGGCCAGCTCCAGCTCCAGCTCCAGCTCAAGGCTCACCAGCAAAAACTCACCCCACCTAGGACACTGCTTCCAGGCAGCTAGCGAATGCTACTCCAATACTACAATAAATAGCTACATCTAGAGAGTACAGTACCCACAAAATACTAGATAATACACCCTTAGCCCAAACCCACATGAAGATAAAGGAGACACATAAGCAGCACTCAAGTAGACCTCACGCGAAGCGGGTTCTGCTTTGGCAGCACCTTTAAGATTGATTGTGGATCGCATGCCACAGAGCCGCACTCTAGTCTCACTCGTTCCAGCTCCAAGCCAAGACATGTTTGCATTACCCAAAAACCCAACAAGTTATATCATAAACACATACACATATATATAACCGTTTACGGACGTGACTGTTCTACTCATATGATAAGTAGCCATAATCCACACACTCCACGAACTGCAGCCGCATCCAAAGACACGAGAATTGAACTCACTCAGCAACTACTATTCAAGTGCATACCGATATAGAATTGAAACTGTAACTGAATCTATACACATAATAGATCTTATATTGTATACCAAACCAAAGCAAACCCAAGAATAATGTAAAATTACAATAAAAAGTCATTTTGGCAATAATAAAGCATAGAAGTCCATCTTGATCACGGATTGTTTGGTAGGAATTTCACAACAAAAAACAAAAAAACAAAATCCTCTTTGATTGCTCTGCCATAAAACATTTCATGATGAAATCTTTGTGGACACCACAGCCCAAGGCCAGTTAACTTTCTCACCGAACTCGCGCTCACAGTCGATCACATAGGCAGGATTATCCATGGTCCTCCTGGTTTCAGTGTAAATTCCGAACGCTAAGGATGGGGCGGATGACCGACAGAGCGCACTGTCTGCACACAACTGAAGAGCGCACAGAGTTTTGGGTTTTAAGTGCGAGCATGTCCGGGTATCTGGCCCGTACGTGCCGCAGCGTCACAAAGTCCGATTGAAAGTGTCTATTCGCCCCAGCACTTGTACACACAAAGGCCCATAAACTGGAGACGAACACCAAGCATGGGGAGAGCTGTAAATCTTGAACAACCTGCAAAAGTCGGTATCATCGGGGGTGTGTAAAAGTTCTTTGGTGGGACAACAACAAAGGCAAAGACAGCAGAGATAGAACTAGCGCACATCAGACAGATTGGATATTCTGCAACTGCTTGCGAGTCAGATCTAATATTTGCACACACACGGGCAATGATGGACTGGACCTGGACGTCCTTCCTGCTGCTGAAAGCCACAGCTGGGTACAACCAATCACTTATAATAATACTTAAGCAAATGTTACAGTTTTATATGGCCAATATTATTTCGATTGGCTCGATGTTTTATTACATTTAGAGCTAAAATTAGTCGATACATTTGCTTATTTCAGACCGGACCGGACACAAATCAATAGCCGATCCAATTTGTTTTCCGATAGGAATAACAGACACACACAATCTCGAAAGCTTTGTCGACTCCAAGCCATGACTATTCGATGTCCTGTTCTGTCCGTACGTTGTCCGTTGTGTCGTCTTACAGTAATGCGTAAGCAGTAAAGATAGGACAGATAGTTGGAATAAGTCCCAGCCATAAACGGATCAACATATTGTACATAGATATGTCTGTACGTGATGCGCGTATTCACATGTCTATTAGCTGTAAAGCACTAAAACTTATCCAAGGCTGGGGGACACACAGCAAAAGAGAACACGAGCAGTGCTAGTGGAGCGAGCACTCTGTCTCTGTCTCTATTTGAACGATGTCGCACTCCTCTGGGCCATGGCAACGAAGAAGGAGAGGCGAAAGTCAAAGTTTGTGTTGCTATACAAAGTCAATGATTAAAGTAGTTAGAATATTTTTAGTATAGTGCGAAACACTACATACAATAGAGCACTGGATGAGGGGTCTGCGGCCAACGGACAGTGTGCGGACAGTGTGTCCGTGTAAACAACGCGCTAATTGCTAGGGTTCGATACTGAAATAATGGCCCTGGCCTTAAGCTTCCTTCCTAATTTGTTTATCTTTAACTTAGACAGAGAATAAACAAAAATAATTTGTTCATAACATATTAAATACACCTTTCTTTGAGGAGGCGGAGGCGGAGGAGGAGGATGAGGATGAGGACAGGGGAGTGGAGATCGTGGAGATCTGGCCCACACACACACACACATAAAATGTAAATGGAAAGCGAAGTATCGTAGCTACCGTAGGTACAATGGGCCAACGAGATGGGGTGGGGAGGAATAGGAAGGGTGTGGATGTGGATGTGGATGTGGGACTGGGATGAGTTTCAAACATTTAGAACTGAAATGGCGGCGTTTCGCGGCACGTGTGTTTGCCCATTGGCGTGATCACCACGTGGAGGGTGAGCGTGTTGCGCTGATTACCACTCAAGTGTGGACTCAATGATGTTGACTCCTGCTCCAGCTCCTCGTACGGCAGCAGATTGTCCAAATTGATGACGCGCGATGTATCCGAAAAGTACTCGGTGCGCTCCACCATGGTACGAATGTGCGTTATCTGATTCTGCACGCCCACAATCAGGACAGTAATCTGCAGAGGGAAGAAGATTAAATGATGATTACAATCGGGGGGACTCACCACTCACCTTGAAGCGCTCCTCGTCAATGTTCTGATTCTTGCAGGTGACACGCAAGCGCACCGTGTTCAGGTAGCAGCCAGGCACATCCTCGCCCCAAACCATTTTGGCTCTATTATACTTAACGCCGCGCGGGAAGAACTCAATCTCCCAGGTCATGCAAGGATCTGTGGAGCACGAAGGGATGAGCCAAAGGCATGAATGAAATGACGCTGCGGGACTCACCATCGTCAGTTTCCGCAATGCTGCGCTGTGAAAAGAAGCAGGTCACATAGTTGACGTAGCGCTCGATGCGATCGAAGTGTGGCACATTGATGTCGACACTCCAGGTGTCGTTCCAGTAGAGTCTGGGCGTGAACTGCAGCTCGCCAAACTCGCTGCAGCGCACCTGACGCACGCGATCCTCCTGTCCGGACTGGTAGCTCATGCCAATGGCAATGCGCTCGACTAGGAACTCCTTGTGGTACTCGGTGAGTGGATCTATTAGCAGATGCGACAGCTGGCGCGGGGTCATCATGCCGAAGCGAATGTGCATGACTGTCTGCTCGATCAGTTCCATGAAGGTGTTCACCTTCTCTATGCTGGTGTGTGGCGAGCTCTCGATGAGCTTGCGACGATGCAGCAGCCAGGTCTGCAGGATCGTGAACATCTTGTACTCGCTGGAGATGACGATGTCGTTCTGCTGCAGCAGCAGCTCGAGTATGGCTGGATCCATTTCGACAAAGTCCTTGGACTCGGCCACCATCTCGAGGTTCCACTTGAGGAAACGCTTCAGCGTCTCGGTGAGATCATTGTGTGTGGGCGAAAAGGAGAGTGTGTGCGTGTACTGCAGCCAGGAGACCAGGTAGCCGCTGGTCGCTGCCTTCGCCACATGCTTCGTCATGTAGCCCACACACAGATCGATGAGATCGCGCACATTGTACTTATCGGAGATGGCCAGCATGGGCATGACCGTCTGCAGCGTCACCTCGATGTGGCCCACATACAGATATTTGATGAACTGCGGAAAGACGGCCGCACAGCAGTCCTCCTCGTGCAGCTCGATGACGCGCTTGCTGCACTCGTTCCACTCGGGGTTCATCAGCATCACCTGAAAGACGTCGCTGCTGGCGGAGAGTATGACCCGGTGGGCGGGGTACTCCTTGCCATCCACCAGCAGCACTATGTCCGACATCAGCTGCTCCGCATAGAGGTGAGCAATCTTGTTCAGCACGCTGTTGGCGTCGATCATCTGCAAGCATTGGGCATCGGGATTCTGGATTAGTCAAGCCAAGGCCCATGGTAGCGGGTGCTTTTGGCCATACTCACTGTGCTTGCACCATCCTGGGTGTCCTCCGTCTCCAAGCACTTGCGCCTCTTTGCCTCCTGGTCCTCGCTGGGGTCGCCGCCTGTGTTTGAGCCGTTGCCATTGGCGTTGGGTGCTGCCTCGGCTCCGGCGGCTGGAGCCGGGCCAGCTCCAGCAGCAACTGCGCCGCCAGCAGCTGCACCTGCAGCTGCACCTGCACCTGCACCTGCACCCTGCACGCCAGCACCACCTCCGCGTGCACCTACACCACCCATAGCGCCAGCGCCACCTGAGTTGGCCGCGCCTCCATTCCCATTCGCGTTCATTGCAGTCAAAGTCCACTTAGATCCGAGTTGCACGCAATTTGAGTAGCTGCACTTGTAACTTGATCCTTTACAGTATTTCAGTGCTGCGAGGCAGAAACATCGTAGATTATTCGTGGGGTGCAAAGGCAAATAAAACAAATCGGAGTTAGTGTGGCCGCTTTTCTCTACTTCTGCTCTCCAGTATTTTAGCAGCGGTGTGACCGCGGATTACCAACAAACCGCGGATGAAATATACCAAAATATACCTTCGCAGATTGGATATTTGCTTAGACCAACAAAACTAGAAATTGGAAACAACTTTTGTTACAGTCAGTTTCAACGCACGGCAGGAAAACTTGTCGCATTTGTTTTAGCAGTTTGACTCATCATATGAACGGCATGCTTTGCGTGCAAAAATCCCTTATTTTCGTTATTTTTCAAAGTCCTCGTCCTTGAGTCCCACTCTTCCTGGAATATGTCGATTCGCAAACGGAGCAACGTTGATTGCAAATGTAAAAGTGTTTCAATTGAAAATTGAAAATTGTTTATTCTGCTGATAAATTGTCCCTAAGAATCACTTAAAAGTAGCCTGCTGGACCACGAAAATTGATTTATTACATATCGAAACGCAAGACATCCCAACGAACTATTAACTAGGTACAACAGAGGCTCACACTGCTAGGGGGCACAAAGAAGGGTCGAAGGGGACACTTAAATTTGATCACGATCACAAGTGAAACGATTATTAATATTATTTGATGCGGCCTTCATTTAGCATGCACGTGTGGCTGGGGCTGGGGCTTGGGCTGTGGCTGTGGCGTCGTTCATGTTGTCTGTTAAATGCGGAGCTTCAATCCTCATGGAGGCGGCTGCTGCTGCTGCTTCTGCGGCTGCCGATGGAGTGGCTCGAAGGTAGAGGGAAAGTATTACAATTACTTTGGCGGTGGCATATATTTCCAGGGTGATTTTGTTCATCAGATTGCGGAGGCTGACGTGACGAGCGCTCACTCAGAGCTCGTCGTGGCCGATGGTCTTCTTCAGATAGGCCTTCAGCTCGGGCAGGGTGCGGCTGCCCTCGTACTCGTCCTGCCGCTGTCCGTTCTTGTAGAGGAAGAGCGTCGGATAGCCCTCGACCTGCTCGTCAATGCAGATCTGCTTGTTCTCGGGCGCCGTGCAGTCCACCTTCGCGATCACAACCCCGGAATGGGCATTGTGCGTCTCCGTGGCCAGCTGCTCCCACGTCGGCTGCAGCTTCTGGCAGTGTCCGCACCACGGAGCGTAGAACTTGATGAAGGCGGTGCCCTCGGCCACGGCCTGGGTGAACGCCGCCTCGCCGCTCAGCTGCTGCGGCTTCAGCTTCTCGGCCTCCTCGTCCGCCTTCTCCTTGGCCGCTTCCTGGGCCGCTGTGTCGCTGCTCTCCTTCTTCTCTGTGGGCACACCCACCATCTTCTCCACGTACGTCTTCAGCGTGGGCAGATCCCGGGCACCCGAGTACTTTTCAATTTTCTTGCCATCCTCGATCCACAGCAGCGTGGGGTAGCCCTTCACCTCAAAGTCCTGGCACACGGAGCGATACTGCGTGCAGTCAATCTTCGACACGGTCACGCCCGAGAACTGCTTCAGCTCCTTGGCCAGCTCATCCCAGGTGGGTGCGAGGCGCTGCAAAACGAAAGAGAGATTAGATTTGGGGTTGCGGAGCGACAGTGCCGCCAGAGGCCATTACCTGACAATGACTGCACCAGGGGGCAAAGAACTTGACAAAGTGATTGCCGCTGGAGACATGCTTGGCAAAGGTGTCCTCGGAGAGATCCACCACCTTGCCCAAATGTTGATTGGCCACGGGCACTGAGCCGGCGCCAGCGCCAGCGCTCTCCTGCAGCTTCTGCTCGGCCTGCTCCGCCTCGGAGAGTGTGCTCAGCTCGTGGTTGATGAAGTCCGTGATGGCGGGCAGGTCCCGGGTGCCCTTGAACTTCACCGACTCAGCCTCGCCGAGCTTGAAGAGGCGCAGCGTGGGATAGCCGGTGACCTCGTGTTCGGCACACAGCGACTGGTGCTTGGTGCAGTCCACCTTGGCAATGATCACCTTGGGGTCTTCGACATTCATTATCTCGGCCAGCTGCTCCCACAACGGGTGCAGACGCTTGCAATGTCCGCACCTGCAAAACAAAGGAACAAAATCCGTGATAAGAGCGTTCTCCGTTCTCTGTTTTCTGTTCTCTTTCCTTTGTGCAGCAACAAAAGAGTTTATCAAGCTAAAGCTAAAGCTGAAGCTTAGAGGCGGAGGCCTAATCTTGGATCCGAGCCACTTGCCTAATCTAATTAGCTCAGAGGGAGGGAGCCACATAGCCGCTCTATGACACTGATAAGGGCAAACTTAAGCAGTGTGTTTAATATTTGTCAATCAATGGCCAGGGGCCAGGCCAGAGCACGTTGGACTCTGCCGAAACAAAGCCCCTTTGATCGTCTTATCTGAGGACGTGTCCCAGTCCAGCCCTATGACGAATCCCACTGCTGATTGGCAGCAGTGGTCAGCCCTCGACGACGGTATCGGTATCGGCCTCGGATACAGATTCCGATTCGATTCACGGACCAGCTGTGTGGCAGCGTCAGCCAAAAATTGATGATACGTGCTACAACACACAGCCAAGAACATGCACACACATGCACACACACACACACATGCACACATCCCTATATATGTGTGTGTGCGTGTGCGTGGCTTTTAGCATACATTTGCATGTGTGTGTGTGTGTGTGCGTGTGTGGACCCTGCTGATTCGCCGGCTTCGTTTTTGTGCCATAAATGAGCGCCAGCAGTTGATGCTTGTATTTCACGTTCCACTTACCATGGTGCAAAGAATTTGACAAACACATTGCCGGCTTGGATTGCCTGATTGAATTTTTCGGGGTCCAGCTCCACGGCAAACTGCTTCTCGGCATTCTTGACCGCCTCCTCCTCGGCACGCACGGTGACGGATAGGTAGGGCGACAGGAAGAACGCGCACACAGTGATCGGGACCAGAGATCTCGCAAACATTTTTAATAAGACTAAGTAAACTTTTTTTGTACAACTAATTTTATTTTGCCCCGTAAATGTTATTACCAGTGTGACCGCGGAAGTATCGATAAAATATACCGTACGGTCCTCGAAAATATACCGAAATATTTCATTTTCAAAATATACCGTAAAATATACCATCAATCTAAAATCATTTTCCTCGATTTTGATGTTCAGTTTAATATTACCAGCTGGTTAGGTTACTCAGCTTTAAAAATGTAGTTTTACTCAAATTATCATTTAGTTCTCCGCAGGATTTGCGGATTTTATGATACATCTTTCCTCAATTGATTGCATAATAAGGTTACAACTGAAAAGGTCAACCAAAAATATATACCTTATATACTTAATATTATAAATACATTTGGCTAACGAATTCGCCACCATTTAAAAAAAAAGCTAAATATGGCGGGAAAACGTAACTCATTATTGGCAGCAGAACTCTACGAAATCCGTCACCAAGTGAAAAGCGCAGTATTTGCCATCAAAATAAACAATTTATTAATTGCTTTTAGCACTGAGTTATAATATTATTCGACTCCTCAATTAATCCTTAGCAATTTAGCTTTTTAGAATTTCTTGGCATGGTTGTAAAACTGTTTGTGTGTTGTTTGGTATTTTCTGTTATGTATGTAAGCCATTAACAGAGCCACTGTTGGACCAGCCCTGTTAACTTGTAACATTTGAAAAGCATTCTTTATTAGCACGCGCAACGAAGTTGAAAAAAATAAGTTTCTTAATTTGAATATTCGAATCAATATTAGAAGTTAGTAGGGTCCCTTTTTTATAACACTTTTCCAATCAATATATATTACAAAGGTGTGTACACACTTTGCATTGCTCCTGGTTCCGTTCTGCAACTGGTTCCGCTTCTTTCATATCGATACTTTCTATGCTGGCGATAGAGGGCGCCTGCGTTAAATTTAAATTTGAATTATGCATTTTTCATTATTCTGCGGTTTTTGCCACGTTTTTGTTTGCTTTGCTTTGCTTCTGCGACCAAAATTAGTTGCAATTAGCTTTTGGCCATGGCCAATCATAATTAGCCACCCGAATCCCTTTAGCCCAAGCCCCCCCCCTGGTGCCACTAACCAACTTTTTGTGTTTGTTTTTTCCTTGTTGGTTTGCTGGCAAATAATCACGCTTTTAAATTTTATTGCTGTGGCGCGCTGCCTGTGTTTGGGGTTCCGCTTTGTCTCTTCGCTTGTTGAGAGAGAGAGAGAGAGAGAGCGTTAGGGGTTAGGAGGAGCGTGCTGGAATGCGACTCCCCGTCTGGCTGGGGGATTTGTTTAGAGTCTCATTAGTGATGCTCACGATGCGATTTGGCTGTTCTCGCCTGGATTCCTCCCCTGGACTGCTCGTGGAGTGCTGCTAAAGGGGTTTTATGTGTTTTAGTAGCAATTTAACAAGAAGGATGGCTGATCGCTTGCTTTATGATCAGACTGGGTACTCTTGGTGCGGCCCCCACTTTTCTTGTGCTGAATTTGAATTGGATTTATTTGTGTGCGGTCGCAAGGTGCTTGCTTAGTTGCGAGCTGCCTTCACATTAGTCTTCTGTTTTTAATTCTCGGTTTTCGGTTAAGCCACCACTAAAGAACAGCCAGAAGAAAAGAGCACTGTAATTTGTTGTGCGCTTATAAATTTGTTCATGCGTTGACTTTCGCTCTCTCCGCTCTCCGCTCTCGTCTTCCAATCATGCCTCCCCCCTCGCACCCTTGAAGATTGCGTGCTCCATCATTAGTGCCGTTACTTTATGCTCTTCCGTTTTGGTATTCAGCTTTTGCTTGTTCGCTGCTCTGCTCTCTGTGCTCTGCTGCTGCCGCTGCCTCTGCTTTGCTCTTCCGCTCTTCCTTATTCTTTCTTTTGCCCTTCCTCCATTGTTGCCTGCACACTGCTCGAGGTGGAGATGTCGACTTTGATCAGATGTTTGCACCGCTGAAGATTGCAATACATAGCAAAATTCCTTCTGCAGTGCTTTCACATTATTTGTTACCAACTCTAAGGCTAATCAGAATATCCAAGATTATGCAAATGATTCTATTAAATCTCGCAGATCGTAAGCCAGAAGAAATGCCCATTGGGTAGTGCATCCAGCGAAAGTGCTTTGGCAAA